ACATCAGCGCTGGAAAACACGAACGCCAGCCAGATTTTCGGGCCACCGTACGGGGGAATTTTGACGAGCCCCACAGCAAGTCAAAAACCCACGGACAACGGGCCAGAAATCTGCGGATTCCAGTCGACCATGCAGCAGGGCCAGTCCGCACAACCGTTAACAACTGACATTTTCGGAACCGCGGCGAAACAGCTACAACAGTTAAGATTAACGTTGCCACAAACAAACGACACAACATCGTTCGAGGCACGTTTAGGGGCACTGGAAGAGAGCATGACGCGGTTCTTCACAGAATCGCGCCGAGCAACCGTCCAACTACCAAACAGTTTAGCGGCCCCGCGGTTAGACAACCACCCGTCACCCGTACAGATAACAAATCGTACACACGATAATTACCAGTCGGGTAGGTCATATAATGAGTTCAATGACGGCGGCGCTCAACACAGCGCCAGCCACATTGCCGACGCGAACAACCGACCGTTCTTCACGCGCGAAACTAATAATGACTATTATACGGGTCACACCACACGCGCGTCACAATACGCGTCGTACGAAGCACGCGCGCATGAACGTTCGGTATTAATACCGTACGAGGACTTGCGTACAGCAAGAGCTTCGTTACCCGAGTTCACGGGAACAAGGGCCGAGGACCCAGTACGGTACATAGAAAATACCGAATCGATTCTGGTGCAAGCTCGTATCCACCCATCGGGCTGGTGCAGGGCGGTCGAGCCGCAGTTAAAAGGAACGGCGAGTGTATGGTATGCATCCATAAAAGTACTCGACCTAACCTGGGAAGAATTTAGGGTTGAGTTTTTAGAAAATTATAACAACGCCGAAATCCAATCCCAACTGCGCGCCGACGTCGTGTCAACACGACAAACACCCAGACAATCGCTTACGGAATTTGTGCTAGTTAAAAACCAGCAAGCGCGCCGCGTAAATACCGGCCTATCCGAGTCGGAATTGGTAGGTATTATAGCAGGATTAACACGCGACACTTTCCGAACACACATCCGTCTACAACGGCCAGTGACGTTCAGCGAGCTACGACGCATCGCAGGCGTCTTGGACCCGGTAACGGACAACACCAACCCGCCCACCCAACAATGGGCCCCTAAACCCAAAAAAGGGGAGGATACCCCGCAAACAGCCCCCCCGGTCAAAAAAAATTTTTTCAAAAAAACAATAGATAAACAACCACCGGGGCCGTGCAAGTATTGTGGGGAACCCCATTGGAACAGTAAATGTCCACACAAACCGACCACGTCGGGAAACGGCGGGGGAGTCGACGGGGACTAGTCCCCCCCATCGACTCATCAACACCCCCCCACCCATCACCACCCACTATCGGTAATACAGGCGGAAAAAAATTAAATAATCGAAAAGCGCGTAGTTCGGTAATTCAACATACAGAACCACCAACTACGAAAATTTTTTCCGTCACATCACCAATCGGCGCCCGTTCACGGTCCCCCAACCTACACCACCCCACCACCGAATACACACACCTCACCGGTGAAACGTGTGTTCAACAACAACCGGCTCATGGGGCAGCCACAGGTGTAGGGACAAAGGCAACAGAGACACGGGTGGTCACCAACACAGGTGACGGGGACACGAGCGCACACACCGCGCATTTCCCCGCATTAGGTCAGTCTGCGCACGTAAAGCAACAGGCGAGCAATGAGGCAACCGATGTTGACAGTATGGTCATGGCGGTTAACACCGACGACCAGACAGCCATCGTCGCGGTTCAGAACCAGTTGTCCCGCTCACCAGATTGCAATACGACTAGTAATGGTATACGAACACGCCCAGACAAAATTCCGACCCCCGCGGTCGAACTCGAATTTCCGTCAGGATTCGTAACAGCCCTTTTAGACTCGCAGGCACAAAAATCGTACATAAACCCGACAGTAGCCCGTAAATACGGCAAAACGCCTCCCCACGGACCAAAAAACACAGTCCGGATGGCGGACGGTCACACTGCAACAACCAGTGGCACCTCCACATTCGAAGCTAGGATAGGTACATTAGATATAAAATTCGAAGCTACCATCCTAGACAATTTGTATTGCGACGCGTTACTAGGACACGACTTTCTTGTAACCAATGAAGTCTCTTGGGATTACGCCGCATGCACAATTCACATGGGTAGGCATATTCGTACGTCGACATGCTGGAAAGGGAAAACACACCCACCCGCCACTCGTCCCGACTTGTCACAATTAGAATTTGGAAACGACACCGAAACACGCGCGAAACTAACCAAGATATTAAATAAATACGCGGTAGTATTCAGCGAAAAAGTAGGACGTACCAAATTAATTGAACACGAAATAATGCTAAAAGACCCATCACCGATCGCGCTCAAAGCATACCCATATCCGCAGCAGAAACAAACGGCAATCGACGATATGGTGAGCGATATGGAACTCCAGGGGCTCGTAGAACCAAGCACCTCACCGTGGGCCGCACCGGTAGTATTGGCAAAGAAGAAAGACGGAACTTTTCGTCTCTGTGTCGACTACAGGCGGCTTAACGACGTAACGGAATCCGACGCGTACCCTATGCCAGATCTCAACAAAATGATTAGGCAAATGCGGGGCGCGAAAATTTTCAGCATTTTTGACCTTAGGTAGGGGTACTGGCAAGTTCCACTACACGAAAATGCGCGAAAATACACGGCTTTCCAAACACGTAGAGGTCTATTTCAGTTCAGAGTCCTCCCCTTCGGTCTAAAAAATAGTCCAATGACTTTCGTGAGACTCATGAACGAAGTCATGCGCGGGTACCAGGATGATTTCGTACAAGTTTACCTAGATGATATTGTAGTATTCTCAAGGGACGAGTACGAACACCAGGCCCACCTGGACAAAGTTCTAGAGCGCCTCAAGAGATTCGGACTAACGTGCAACACAAAAAAATGTAAAATCGGTCTTCGCGAAATTTCATTTTTAGGGCACATCGTAGACTCGGAGGGCATACAAAAACAACCGGAAAAATTAGTTTGCATTGACAATTTTCCGGTCCCCAAAAATGTTAGGGACGTACGTAAATTTTTGGGCGTATGCAATTGGTACAACCAGTTCGTAGATAATTACGCGGATACCATAGCACCGCTCACTAATTTATTAAAACAGGGGGTACGGTGGAAATGGACAGATGTGGAACAACGCGCGTTCGAATCAATAAAAAACGCGCTAGTCACATCACCAAAATTGTCACCACCAGATTATAGCAAACCGTTTTGCCTACAAACTGACGCAAGCGAAATAGGAGCCGGTGCGGTACTTTTCCAACGGGGTAACAGACCGGAGGAAAGACGCATAGTGTCCTACGCAAGCAGAAAGTTTAACGAAGCACAAACAAGGTACGCCGCGGTCGAACGCGAGTGCCTAGCAATAATCTGGGCAACAGACAAATTCCGTCCATACCTAGAAACCCGACGTTTCGAACTCCTAACGGACAACTCGGCACTAACATGGTTACACAGGGCTAAAGACAAAAATTCAAAATTAACACGTTGGTCACTACAACTAGCTAATTTAGATTTTTGTACGGTACACGTCCCGGGAATACAAAACGAAGCACCCGATTTGTTATCCCGCGACCCGGCACCGGGCACACCCGTAGACGAAGATCGACTTGAGGAAAAATTGGTAGGGGCACCTGTAACGCCGACAACTAATATTGACCCCGAGTCAGATCGTATCTTCTCCATGTCCGATAACCACGTCAGTGACGACACACCTCTCACCGCGACGACACTCGAAAAGTGGCAGTCTGAGGACGCCACGATTCGGGACATAGTCACCGGTCATAAGTGGGACGGCCCAGCGCGCAACACTAGGAGCACAAAATCGGGAACAAACACATATGTTTTTTCCGACGGTCTCTTACGCGTAAACGTAGGCCCCCACACACCCATCGTGATACCAAAAACAAAAATACAACACGTAATTTGGAGGTGTCACGATCACGTCCTATCCAACCACCCGGGCTGGAAAGAGACGTACCGGGCGGTTCGACAACGGTATTATTGGAAAGGTCAAAAGAACGACGTCAGGTCGTATGTCGGTGCGTGCCACGTGTGCGCGTGCACGAAACCACTAAACTCGCGTCCGAACGATCCAATACAACCAAGAACCCCCCGGCAACCATGGGAAGTTATCAGTGTCGATTTAATGGGCCCATACCCACGTTCCGGTAAGGGAAAATCGTACATACTGGTAGCAACCGACTGTTTTAGTAGGTGGACCGAGGCTTACCCCTTAGGAACAGCAACCTCTAAAACAATAATCGAAACGTTAGAACGCGAGTTTTTTTCGCGTTTCGGTTACCCGCGCGTGTGTCTCAGTGACAACGGCCCGCAGTTTGTGTCTAACGAAATGTTAAACGCGTTAGAGCGCTGGGGGGCACAGGGTTGGACGACTCCAATCTACCACCCGAGGGCCAACCCAGTCGAACGCCGTAATCAAGATTTAAAAAAAGGTTTACGCGCACAACTCGTCGACGGCAAACATAAATCGTGGGACACAAAATTACCTTCGATTCTGTTTTCGATACGGAACAGGTGCAACGAACAGACATGCTACCCACCCGCGGTCCTTGTCCTAGGTAGGGAATGCAAGAGACCCGGAGATTGGGCGCTGTCAAAAATTACACCGGTACACATCGAAAAATCACAGGAAGAGAGGGTAGAGCGGGAGAAACGTATTTTAGGCAAAAAGGTAGTGATAAAGCCGAGCACGAACACCGGCACACCGGTAAAGTTCGGAAAGGGCGACGTAGTCTACTACAAAGCACACCACCTATCTAAGGCACATAAAGATTTTCATGCCGGGTTCGCACCAAAGTGGTGGGGACCGGTAAGGCTAGCGAAACAGGTCGGTAAAGGAGTCTTTCTAACCGACCAACAGCCGCCGCGGAAAATACAAGTGTCGTGCCTAAAACGCGCACCCGCAGGTCAAAATAAATAAACATCTGTCTGTACTAACAATTATTTACAGACGACATGCACGACCAGCAGCAACAAGAGAAGTGGCAGCAGGTGGCCGCGCTGATCCAGCGGCTGGGGCTGGTGTCCGGCGGACAGGACGGACCACGAACAGCCGCCCAGGTCGCGAGGATGTCGACCCGCCAGCTGCTGCAGGACCCGGTGAGGGCGGCCATATACAACCGGGGCTGGGCGGACCGCACAGCCGACATCCAACGACGGTTACAACCACAGCGACCAACGACGGCACCCAGCAGCCGCACCCCGTCGTGGACGAGGCCACCAACACCGGGAACCACCCCTACCCCCGCGACACCTACCTCCGTAACACCTGCGGAGCCGACAACGGTGACCAGGACAACGGGGGTACTCCCCGTACCGAAGGTGAAGGCAAGAACGGAGGCGCAGCGGGCGCGGAACAAAAGGAAGTTCCAGCAGCTCAAGGAGAAGAGGATGGCTAGGGAAAGCAAGGCAAACCAACAACATCGGCTTGCCAAGCAACCTACACCAACCTCGGACCCGGAAGCGGCCAGCTCGCTCCCATTCGAACCAACACCGACGGAAACGATGGAGGTGGACACTCCGGCGACCAAGGACGAAAAATCCAAGGAGCCGGAGCAGTCTACCAGCCAGGCGCCACCCAACCAGTCAGAGCCCACGGTCGAAAAAACCGAGGAGGATTGGTTGGGGGCGTTCGAGGGGCTACCGGAGTTGGAGTACAACAACACGTACCACACTCCGGTAGGGTCCCCAACACACAAATAAAACGACCACGGGCGTGGGCAAGTCTACCTTAAGCGTAAGCCAGAGGTAGTACAAGCCACCCCGTCCCATAACTACGCGCCGACACTGGTACAAGTGTACCCCGTGTGGCGGTTTGGCGGGGGAGTATGACGCGGTACGCAGCGGCCACCAGTACAAAGTACAGGTACCGCAGCGACCGGTCTACGCTTTTGTCAACCACCACAACGGGCTACAGCGCGTTAACGCCAACTCCCCCACCGCGCCTAAAAGGCACAAGGTGGGACGGGAAGGCAAGGCGCGCAATACGAGTACCGGCCGCCGGCGGAGCCTCTCTCTTACGTCAACCGTCGAAACGACTCCATCACGGCTACGTACCACCGCACCGGAGACATACCGCTCGTCATCCGAAAGCCACGCCGGCGACCGTTTCACCGTTATATGTGACATCCGTTGACTTGACTACCAGATTACTTAATCTAACATTGATTTCCAAACTTTGAATATTGATTTAATAAACCGGCCACAGGCCATATCACACCAAAATACGTGTACCTTAATTTCAAGTGCGAGTGTCGTTTGTGTCACCCTACTTCCACTCCACATCCGACGACCGGCTGACTGCGTCGATCAACATCGCCGTAGCCGTGTCAGGATACACATGATATTTTTACTTTTGGTTCTTTGGTGTATTTATACCTTAAAACACAAAAAAATAGAAAACATTGGGTTCATCCAATCAACAGCGAACGGCATACTTCAGGACATTACGTGCAACTCTATAAGAAACTAAGACAAGATCCTGTACAATTTTTTAATTATTTTCGCATGAATATTAGTTCATTCGACGTATTATTATCGTATATAGAATGTGACATACAACGCCAGAACACAAACATGAGGTCAGCCATAGGACCCGAGGAAATGCTTGTCATAACATTAAGGTAATTGTACATAATTTACAGATAAAAATAACCTTTATTTATTAAAAATGTATATTATAATTTATTATTTAAATATCTGTAAGTTAACTTTTAGAAATGTTTTTAAATACTAAGATATTATGTAGTATAATTTGTAGGTATTAATTTAAGTTATTTAAAGTTGTCTTTTATTAAAAAAAAAGCAATTACTTGTAAATGTAAACAGAATAAAATGTATGAATTTGAGTAACTAGCTAAGTGTAATTTCTATAAGTTTGAATGGTTATAATTTCCTTGCAAGTCGAAATTGTCGTCTGGAATTTCATCACGAGAAAATTCTGAGTAGTATGATGCAGCTGATGATGCTGACGATGCCCTAACAAAATCATAATTAGGAGTATGAGAAGGTGGTTGAAATAAAGTGGCATGTGTAGTGTTAAATGATGATTGAGTGTATGAAGGTATGTTTAATGATTGATTAATAGGTGTTTTATTTTTAATGTTATGAAGTAATTGCATCGTTTGCATTCTAAAACTAAATTTCTGGTCTGAAGTTAACGATTTAACTGTTGGGACTAATGAGTAAAAGAATGCCATGTCTTCATCTTCTTCCACAGATTTTTTTGTCGCTTTATGTGACTCCATAAATTCAACTAAAGCTTGTTCCACATTATGCTTTTTTCGCTTATTGTTTGATTTTTCGTTTGGAGTAGAGGAAGAATTTTTTGAAACTTCGTGATAACTTCCATCGTCAACATTAACTGATGAATTAAGCTCGCTTTCATTGATTTTGGGCGATGTTGGTTCAGATATAGGCTGGTCTTCGAAATTTGAATCAGTGTTTCTTAACTCTTTGCTTTTTCCTAAGAAAGACAGTTGTTCCCCATAAACATACAACTTTGTTTTTTTGGCAGCTGAACCAGATCTTGAGCTATTGGCTTGTTTTCTTAAATTTCGCACATAATTGTCTCGGATTGTGCGCCATCTACTCATTACGTCTAATACTGAAAAAAATTTATATATTATATTATACGTTTTATATATTTATTATTCATTCCCTATTATAAAAGTTATTTTTGTAATATTTAGATTATTGTTGTTTAATTTTAACAGATACCTAGCTTCTGGCTGCAGTTTTCAAGAACTACATTACAATTTTCGTATTGGAAGAACTACTGCAAGTCAAGTTGTCAGAGCAGTTTGTCAAAGTATTTGGAAAAATTTGAAAGAGGTATGCATTCCCATACCAGATGAAAATATGTGGCTCAAAATTTCAGAAGAGTTTAAAGCTAGATCAAATTTTCCTAACTGTTTGGGTGCTGTGGACGGTAAACACATCCGTGTTGTTAAACCAGAAAGAAGTGGTTCGTTGTTTATGAATTATAAACATTTTTTTTCAATTGGACTTATGGCTGTTGCTGATGCAAATTATAAATTCGTTTATATCGACGTTGGGTCATATGGGAAAGATTCTGATTCCACTATTTTCAGAAATTCGTTGCTTTGGAAGAATTTGGAAAGGAATAATTTAAATATTCCTAAATCATCACAAGTACCAGGAATAAATATTCCATTGCCTTACGCTTTTGTTGGTGATGAAGCTTTTAGTTTAAGCAAGCATTTGCTTCGGCCATATTCTGGTACACATTTGCCAGATAGAAAAAAAATATTTAACTATCGCTTAACACGCGCTAGACGCTACGTGGAGTGTACTTTCGGTATACTTTCAAATAAATGGCGTATATTCCACAGGCCAATTGATGTAAAAGTAGATTTTGCTGTCGATATCGTAAAATGTTGTTGTGTATTACACAACTTTGTACGCGATCGGGACGGATTTAGTATTGATGACACACTAATAATAAATGGTTTTGAAGAATTTGATGTTTTTGATAATTCAGGAACAAATCGAAGTACAAATTTATTTCGTGATGCTCTATCTCATTATTTTATGAGTGATGAAGGAAAATTACAATGGCAGTTTGAAAAAATATAAGAACTTAAATTAATTTATCTACCTACTGATAATAATAATTAAATATTAGTCAATAAAATCTTATATTATATTAAATTTATTATTATTATTATTATTATATATTATTTTATCTTTATTATATTTATAATAAAATCATTTCAAAACAATTTATTTTTACCTTCGGGTTTTTAAAACAAAAATAAACATTTAATATTTTAAATATTTTTCTACTTGAAATATGTATAATTTTATGAGGAAATAAAAAAAACACTTACAAATAATTTTTTGTTGTGCTTCATTTTCATCTTTGAATGAATTTATTAAAGATGAAGCTACTTTGATCCATGCCCCATTCTTTTTTACTTTATCTTTGTAGTCTTCTACAGCTGTATTCCACAAAATTTCATGTTTTTGGACCTCACTAATTAACAGCTCGTTGTCTATACTTGACATTTTGATAAGAAATTTAATAAAATGTCCAACGTGTTAATTTCAGTTTTGCAAGTAATTTCAAGTTGTAGTTTTGTTCAATACGTCCGTACTTTGTGCGCACATGTGTCTACTTATATTGGAATTATTATAATTCTAAACGTGCGTCGATAATTTTCGACGTGCGTACTAGAAAAAATACGTCGATAAGAAATTTACGTCCGTCCGAACGTGCGTTATTTTTAGCGCACGTTCCTCGTGTGTCTACTCCTGTAAGCGATAATGTACTTCTACAACGCACGTAAAACATTACGCGCGTATCGACGTATTTTGTACGTCCGTGTGACACCAGCCTAAGTCGTAGATTTGACTCCGGTTGTCATCTCGATAGGCGGTTAGGTAGGTGTAGGCATAGGACAAACAACTCGGGGTCCCGAGTTCGAACCCGTCCCCCGGCGATGTCGATAACTTGCGGCGGCCGTGTTAATTCGAAATTTTTTTTTTCGTCTCTCCGCATCGGTTCCGTCTTATCATATTCAACGCATTTGCTCCGATTTTTTTTCAAAATTCGAGTTTATTATCGTGGACCTCCCCGTCCAAGACTTATTCGCGTTACCTTAATTACTTATGCAGTTTATTATTGTGACTATACTATACTAATTAAACTATTTAATAAGTAATACTTGCTTTTATCTACACATTTACCATGACCAACGTATGTTGTAAATGTATCTTTTATAGGTACTTGATTGAATAGAAAAATAGTACAAGTACAATATAACTAACCTTATATTACATTTTATTACATTTCATTATTTTACATTTTACAAGCATATCATGTATGTACATGAATTAATAGTGAAATTAGTACATATTTTGGTCCATTGGTCTAAAAGTTTCAGCGAAGTACTATTTACCGTTTATATTTTTGGTATTGGTACACCTACTTACCATATAAAATATGTTTTTTTGTAACAGTTTGCATTGTGTGTAAACAGTAGATCTAATAAAACTGATTGAATTCTGGCAGTTAAATTGTACAATTATATGA